TAAGTATAAAATATCAATTTTATTCAGAAAATTACATATTTAGATGCTAATACATTAAAACGTTTTATTCCCCTTGTCATGTCTTTTTTTACCGAACAATCTGATCGTCATTGCTTGTTTACATCTAAAACGGAAGCTGTGTACTACACACGTGCGCATGCCTACCCTGTCAGCCAATGGCAATGCTAGATATATTTAGATTGGGGTGTCCTATTTCGTCATTGAAATACTACGGGTTGTAAAGTGGTTTATAAAAATTAATTAATATTCATGAGCAAACTGTGCCAAACTCATTTGTCCATTCATGCAACAAAACGTCACAATACGACCCAGTTATTACAGGTTAGCTATTTTCTAATTGGCTGATTGAGGGAATTCCTTGAGTTTCATTTGCATACAAACAGGTGACTTTCGTAAGGCGGGTAAAATTAGAGCTATTTTGGGTTTCATGAATTCTCTTGAACTTTCGATACAGTGCTTAATTATAATACTTCACGGAATATATTTTGTGTTTCACCATTAAGGAAACGTCTTTGTTCACCCTTCAACATCAACACAAGACAGAATTTTTTTATTTTAAAAATGGCATGCCATGAAAATAAATCTATCAGCGTGGTCACATGACTACTAGCGTGATCTTGTAAGGTGGGATGTCAACTAAGCAGACGAAACATTAATGGTATCTTGTGAGTGAAGATTTAGGACTTTTGTGCATTTGATTATGAGGTAGAGATTGCGTTAAGGATCCCTGAGTTAAAATGAATCTTTTGTGGGTTTTTTATACTGTTGCCAATGCAAAACTTGATTCGTAGCATATTTATGTCAGACTGATAGCGAGGATCACCTTGTTGTCATTCGGGATGCTTCTCATGGATTTTCTCACATTTTCGGGCTATAAACGGGAATCGTAATGGCCGATCGAAAACATATTACGATTGGAAACGAAAGACGATAGGATACTTGATGATCCAAAGACGCTGCAAAAGTAAGTAAATTGCTAGCGTTAACAATTGACACGTGCTGACAACGCGGAAGTTAGTTCGCTAATGTCAGTATTTGACTATGAAATGACCGTCTAAACGATTATAATCGATCAATTATCGATCTGACACTAGCGATTATCGATCCGACAAAATGTAACGATAACCAGCTCTATCCATTCAGGAATATAATTCTGTTTCACATCTGGTGAATATGAACAGACTGGAAGTGACATCATCAGATACTGTTAACCGAAAATGATGTAGCAGATCCACCAATTTTATGATATTCAGCAGCCCTGAAGGATTCTCAAGTGCACCATGTCACAACAATCAAATGCAGATCCATTTGTCTTAACTGTTAACATTTAGTGACTGTTGTTTAAGGTTGTCTTCCTTACTTGTGTTGGGGGTACCCTGAACCCCGAGTTGTCGCAGAGTACCTTATTCTTAAAGTACCCTAGGAAAAAATATGGGAGATTACTCACACAAATAGCATTTGGTTTACAGCAAGGAAGAAAGAAAACACAATGCTTCCTCTTAAATTTGTCCATTCAAGTCAACTTGTAGATTCAGAAACAAGTGTTAGTGGTAGTATTATCGTTGTTGATAATGTTCAACTCAGGACCAAACTCATATTCAGGGCACTAACTTCCCAATCCATGGTCAGTTCCAAATCATTCTGGATCAAATCTCTCACTTTCTTGGATACATTATGGTGATAAGACATACAGGAACCCTTGACCATTCCAGACTGGATGAACATTACAAGCTTTGGAACTTTGTCGTCAGCCGTGGCTGGAAAGTTTCTTTTCAGTGAAGTGATTCTGAAGTGATTCATCTGATCCTCACATGAAGTAGAAAAAGAAATACAATTACAGGTGTTGGTCGAACTTTTAAAACTTCAGGAGATGCAGGTCCAGGGCCCCGTTTCACAAAGCTATTGTGTCTTGACATAAACTTACAACAGATGTAACGCTGCGATAGCTTTGTGAAAGGGGGCCCAGTATTCCATGTGTCGCTGTCATCCAGCTCATTATGTTTCAAACCATCTAGACCATCTAATCCTTTTTGTGGCCCCAAAGGATGCAGAAGATATGACCACAAGGCTTCTTCTTGTTGCGTGCCTAGGAACTTCTGCCACAGTCATCCTTTTCTTCCACTGTACTCTAGTAGGTCGAAGAATTGGAATATTTAGTGCAAAGTGGATCAATTTGGATCACCCATCAACATTCTTTCAGAAGGATAGAGGCAACTGCTTGTGTGAGCACCACCCCTGACACTCAATCCTCCTCCTCCTCAGTACCCGGAGTCAAAGATGGCAGCACTACAGATAACCTTATGTATGTTATTAGAGTAGTTCGCAACGGAGTCGTTAGATCCATCACCTTAAGCTTCTGATCACCAATCTTTTTTGTCCCAAAGGGATAATTTAACAACATGAAAATGATTTTAAATGCTTGGTATCTATAGCTGCCTCCACACTATCGGATGGTCTCCAATTGACTCCTTTGTTCAATCTAGGGGATTATATGATCAGCCTAAATTTCCAAGATGCGTAAATCGACATGTGCTGATCTTCAGATATTTCTTTGATTCATTGTTATTCCATGAGAGCGGGAGCATGTTTGAAGCATGCATAGACGATTCTTGTATTCAAGCTCATGCAGTGTTCCTCAGATGCTCCAGAATCAACTTGGCCTCACCGCCTGGTTTCTCGATCAACTGGGGTGGATCAGTCCCTTCAGTGGTGGTTGGTTGAATTGAATGTCTGAGACAGAGACAGGAATGTGATCGCTTGACGGTCAATCTCTTTACATCATTGACTTGAAATTCAAGGCGGTGTTTCCAGCTATCTGCCACTGGTCCAACATTAAGGGGCGGTGGGGTAGCCTAGTGGTTAAAGCGTTGGCTCGTCACGCCGAAGGCCCGGGTTCGATTCCCCACATGGGCACAATGTGTTAAGCCCATTTCTGGTGTCCCCCGCCGTGATATTGCTGGAATATTGCTAAAAGCGGCGTAAAACTAAACTCAGTCAGTCAGTCAGTGGTCCAACATTAAGGTCCAGCCTCATGATTCAGTCAGACCACACCATCAGTGGCTCATATCTCGGAGACACATGCCGTAGATGTCAGCCTGGCTACCATGGCCCACTTCTCAGAGATACATGCCGTAGATGTCAGCCTGGCTACCATGGCCCACTTCTCAGAGATACATGCCGTAGATGTCAGCCTGGCTACCATGGCCCACTTCTCCGAGATACATGCCGTAGATGTCAGCCTGGTTGCCATGGCCCACTTCTCCGAGATACATGCCGTAGATGTCAGCCTGGCTACCATGGCCCACTTCTCCGAGATACATGCCGTAGATGTCAGCCTGGCTACCATGGCCCACTTCTCCGAGATACATGCCGTAGATGTCAGCCTGGCTACCATGGCCCACTTCTCCGAGATACATGCCGTAGATGTCAGCCTGGCTACCATGGCCCACTTCTCAGAGATACATGCCGTAGATGTCAGCCTGGTTGCCATGGCCCACTTCTCCGAGATACATGCCGTAGATGTCAGCCTGGCTACCATGGCCCACTTCTCAGAGATACATGCTGTAGATGTCAGCCTGGTTGCCATGGCCCACTTCTCAGAGATACATGCCGTAGATGTCAGCCTGGCTACCATGGCCCACTTCTCAGAGATACATGCCGTAGATGTCAGCCTGGTTGCCATGGCCCACTTCTCCGAGATACATGCCGTAGATGTCAGCCTGGTTGCCATGGCCCACTTCTCAGAGATACATGCCGTAGATGTCAGCCTGGCTACCATGGCCCACTTCTCAGAGATACATGCCGTAGATGTCAGCCTGGTTGCCATGGCCCACTTCTCAGAGATACATGCCGTAGATGTCAGCCTGGTTGCCATGGCCCACTTCTCAGAGATACATGCCGTAGATGTCATGGTGACTTCACTATTCTGACGTTGTTCTAAATTTTTAGACCTGGTGATATTAAAGATATCTCTCTGTCCGGTCAGATGATCTACATTGCTGCTTCGCTAGACCATCCTATACTTCTCAAGCGTCTCTTCATTCTCCACTTTACAGACTCTTACATTCGCTGGGTGTCTGCTGGGGATGTTTTCGAAGAACTCACCAGCTGGGATTAAGGACCAAATGGTTCTTGGATTTCAGGGGGCAGTTGAAATTGCTGTGAAGCACAGGACATCTATGAAGATTGATTTGGTATGAAATCACCTTACTCAAGACCGCCCACTCCCTTGAAGTTTGTGTTGGATACCGTCAAGTGGTTTCATGGAGCAACCCATTACAAGATGAGCCTGCAATCTGAATGGTTATCGTCTTCCTACAAACTCTGGGAATCTGTGGCCCATGTTCAAACTGTGGAATAAGTGCATAATGTCAGATACTATGAGTTCAAAAATTGTATTCTATTGCTTTTAAACTGTATACTTATATACTTATGTTTTCTCACATGATGGATTTACGCCCAACCAAACATATTATGGATATTACTGGGACGGTTCTAGCTCCCAAGTCAAGTGAATGAAGATGGTTGGGGGAAATATGATATAATAGTCAGCATATCAAACAAGATATCAATTCAAATCAGGTGTCACAGAATGTTTGAACATTTATAAGGAGTAATAAAATCAACCATTGTATCCATTTGTTTTCTGTGCCACCAAACTCAGTTTTAAAATGACTCAACTCAATCAAGGTGAGATCAGTACCATGGTTTCCTACCCATTAGAGGGGGCGGTGGAGTAGCCTAGTGGTTTAAGTGTTAGCTTGTCACGCCGAAGGCCCGGGTTCAATTCCCCACATGGGTATAATGTGTGAAGCCCATTTCTGGTGTCGCCCACCGTGATATTGATGGAATATTGCTAAAAGCGGTGTAAAATCATATTGTGGAAGACTTGACAGATTTTTCATTGACAGATCATAGACAGATGACTTAGAACGTCATTGTGCTGTTGAAACTTGAAGCTGTCTTGTGTTTTGCTTCAGGTGGAACTACTCAGATGCCAGCAGCAGCACCAGTTCCCAGATTACAGCAAGGTATGGGTGCTGGCATGTCGTCCTCGACCACTGGACCAGGCTCACAACAAATGCCAAAATCAAAATCCCAGCAGCCACCAAGCAAGAAGGTGGGTTGTCATCATATTTAACATATTCATAGATGACAGATTACAGTATTAAGTTTCCAAATATTAATAACTTGTGAACAAACCATCTTTTTCAGTGACAATAACCATTATACAGGCATAGTCCATGCACATGCATGTTTGTTATCAATCAGCAGGCATCAGCTCTTTATGAATTTTACTTGTGCATAACATTTGCTGGTTTGACAGTAAACGAGAGGAATGATTTCTTCCCAACTTTTGGAAGGTAGAAATGAATAACACTGCACATGCTGACTTGAAGTTTTACGTATAATTCTTATGAATATTCCACCACTATTACATCATATCCATAAATACCGAATTTGGGTGCTATCACCCTAAATCGAAATTTTATCAACTGTTTTCCATCACTAGTTGTATCTGCACAGCTCCTCTCCTCTTCCATGCAGGAAAACCTCACTTATTTCATCTGGGTGCCATAGTTAACATCTCCCATGTAGCTGCTTCCTTCTAGCACATGCTTTGGTAGTCACACTAATTATCCCCCGTCGCGCATTTAGCCAAGCTTTATCTAGGGAAGGCGCAGGGCCCAGTCAATTTTGGTTACCTTCACATAATTTTCAAGGTCATGGCGACACTGAAAATTTCAGCATGTAAACCTGCATGTTAAGCTACCTCAAGAACCGTTCACTGGATTTTCTTCATATTTAACACCAAGCTTTATCTAGGGAAGGCGCAGGGCCTATTCAATTTTGGTGACCTTCACTTAATTTTCAAAGTCACAGAGACACTTTGAAGATTTCAGCATATTAACCTACATGTTATGCTTGTCAGCGCGATACCTCTAGAGCCATTCACTGGAGTTTCTTCTTATTTGACACCAAGCTTTATCCAGGGAAGGCGCAGGGCCCAGTCAATTTTGGTGACCTTCACTTAATTTTCAAGGTCACAGAGACACTTTGAAGATTTCAGCATGTTAAGTCGCATGTTAAGGTAGTCATCAAGATATTGCAAAAAATATTCAGTGGATTTTCTTCATATTTGTCACCAAGATTCATCTAGGGAAGGCCCAGGGCCCAGTCAATTTTGGTGACCTTCACATAATTTTTAGGGTCACGACGACACTTTGAAGATTTCAGCATGCTAACCTGACATGTCAGCAGGATATTTTAAAGGTCACATGCAACCAAAAAATTAACATAATTAAAACACAATTATCACTTCTTCATGACATATAATATGCATTGCTGATTATGAAAAAACAAATAAACAAAATTATAAGCGTATGATCGCAAATCAAAAGTGCAATATTTTGTACTTGGGTTTACCTCCCTCGAAACGAAGCAGCCGGGATACCGAACCCAGTCAGAGCGGGTGGGTGTGCACTCAAGTGTAACGGCTGGTTCATTAGCAGATGCCGCCTTCACGGCTCATTGTGTGTGTATATATAGAGATGATGGGTTTTGAAAATACATGCTCATTTTTTGTGTATAACATTTTGCAATCAACAGACATCATAACATGTCATGTGTACAAGTATCACACCTGCCTGTCTGTGTAATTACATAATGTGACAGAGACCGAACTCGGGCCATAAATCAATGCGTTTTGTTTATGGTGTATAGCCTGATTGGTGTTAAGTTCAAATTGCATGTGGTCAGTGATCGCAGTTGTGTATTGAATATTGTCATTAGCAGACAGGCAGGCAGACACACAACAAGACATTGAGTTTTGTCTGTGACAGCGACATATCTATATCACAGTTAGAAATTGTGTCAACGCTAAATAATGACATCGCTTTTAAGTATCGAACTGAGAAAGTGACTCGGTAAGAAGAACGTGTGGTGAAAAAAAAAATGAAATTATATAAACAGTTTATTTACTGTCATAACATATAAAAAGCTAGCGCCTGTGAGATGTCAACAAAACATTATGAAAATAGCTCACACCAAAGCCTTCACCGAGTATTCACCAGACAGCCCGCTTCCAAGTTGCGCGAACCTATTTCACTGCGCACGTGCTATGAGCGCAGCCCAGCTGTTGAAACCCGTATTCCCCAGAAAAGTCTGGGGAAAATTAGTGAAACGTTTGAACTCCGATTTCGCGCAGTTTTTTTCATCGCGTTATTTTTCAACTTTATAAGTTGAATTTGCATTTTTGACGCTTTGTTTCGGTAAGTCCATACCGAAAGGCATCAGAATCTGCAAAGTTGTGTTTTACGTTGCATGTGACCTTTAAGAATGGTTCACTGGATTTTCTTCATTGACTTTCAAGACCTCCCTTGAATGTTTTTCAATGAGCAATTTCTTTGTACTATTTGTACTAGTTTTGCATATTTCATACACTATGACATTCATGTCAAGGTCAAAGTCAGTGTATCGAAAATATGTGTGTGGTAGAACAACTAAACAGCAAGATGTCAAGAGAGGTTGACTGGTCATGTTTTTATTGACATTTAACTTCATCTTAAACTTTCATTACTTTATAAGTTTGATTTGATAATTTGCGGCGGTGGATTATGCTTGTTTTAGTTTTTTTTCAGGTAAATAGGCCAAACACAGCACCTTAAATTGACAATTTTGCTTCAATATGTCAAAATCGAGATTTTGATTTTTTTCGTATGTTTAACACATGTACTTCAAGATACACCACATTGTTTTCAATAAAAAGTCTTTTTAATTGATATAAACCCCTACAAACATAATCGTATGTGTGATAATATTTAGATATGTGTGTAATTAAACCCTGAAAACACCGAACTTTCTCCCCTAACAACGCCCCTCCAGCAGGAAGTAAATGGTTGGAAGTCATCTCGTCAGGTTCTATGCAGTCTTAGAGATTCTATAATAATGATTACTGTGAATTACAGTGAGTGTACCAGAGGCAAAACCTACCTTACCTGGGCCAGTTCTGGCAGTCATGTCATTATCTCTCATTAACATATTTTTCCTTATCCTGACTCATGCTCTTTTGCTTGTCTTCTTCTTCTTGCGAACATAGTGGAACACTTGTATCTCCCTAATTGAAGCTCCCTTCAATGTTAAATCACTAATTAGTACTCACCAAGAGTTGCTTCCCTTTCCGAATGCGCGGGAAAGGAGGCGCCACCTCTTCCCACATGCTTCACTCTCTCCTTCTTCGCCCAGTGAGCAGGATGTGAGAACGCCTGTGTCTCCCTACACACTATATCCTTTGATTATTCTTATTTAGTTACCTCTTTTAGTCATCTATAGAGGTTTAGCTAGTATCCTTCAACATTATGTATTGATTATTATTCGTATTTCTGCTGTTTATTCACGGGACACCGTGATTGTTCAGTAGTTTACGTTGATGAAAATCTGTACTATTTGCAGGTTACGTTTTTCTGCTGCTGATCCACATTTAATATGCCCTAGCTGTACTGCACCATGTTCATTTTCTTCACGTTGCAGTTACTGTTATAAATTGTCTAATTTTGCTTTTGACAAATATTTACTTTGCGTTTTGGGACGCGCAGCAGATAGGTCACGTAAGCAGAGTCTAGCGATGGCTGATACATCTGAACCCCTTGCCAGTCAACTGCTGTCGGACGACCCCCTCCCGTCTGGTGTTCCGCTAGAGTTACCATCGGAGGAGAGGTGTGGGACGCAGTCCTGCATCCCCAGCGTCCTGCGTCCCCAGACATCCCGTCGTCGCAGCCGAAGACTAAGAGGGCTTCTACTTCAACTCAACGCAGACTCCGCACCCTCCAAGGGGAAATCGATGAAATCTACAAGGACTTTCTCAGCTGAGATTGTTCCCGCCGCAGAACTGGGCCTGTATGATGATCAGCCGATCGGCAACAGTGACGTCAGCGCAGATCTACATGCAGCCTGATGTACCAACGCTGATGTCTGACGATCTTCCTGAGGGTCCCGTCGCTACCAACGCAGATAGGGCAGCAACTACATCTTCGCAGACCGTCCCAGACGACCTTGTTCTTCAGATTATGAAGATGATGGAAGACCGCTACGGACTGGAGAGACAACCAGCCCAGAGCCTGAGCCTTCGCGAAGGCTCCAACGTAGACGTCACCCCAGAGGGACCCCCCGTCAACGTAGCGGCTGCTACGAAGTCATCGCTGAGGAACCCACCTGCGCGAAGGACGTCACAGCCCACCTCTGCGAAGGACCCAGATGTTCAGCGTTCACGAAGGCCTTCGCGAAGGACACCTAGATCGTCACCTACCTCGGACTCCGATGATCAACACTCAAGAAGAGGTTCGCGAAGGAAGATCCTCTCATCCCCGGACTCGGACCCCCAGCCTTCGCGAAGGTCAAGTCGTCACTCCCCAGGACCGGACTGATGAAGCTTCGCGAAGGGCACCAGTTACAGGCTCCAAGTCATCTTCGTCTAGAAGGTCATCGAGGGATTCCCCAAGAGCTTCGTGAAGCTATCAGCGTTCACCATATAGATCTCCGCGAAGGTCACCATACAGACGCAGCTCGTCAGGCCGTTCTCCACGTCGATCTCCTCGTCGTTCACCTCGTCGATCTCCTCACAGGTCACCACATCGTTCGCCTCACAAGTCTTCACGGAAGTCCCCAGACAGGTCTCCGTTAACGTCACCCTGCAGAGCTGTACAAATATACAGGACTCCACCTCAGTCACCATCGGAAGAGCATCAACCTCTTATCAGCAATCCCGTTACAGAAGATGATGGAGGCATCATATTCTCCGACGCAGAAATACGCTACTGGATGGTTAACAACCTGGACCTATCTTCACCTTCCAAGAACGGTAACCCGGCCCACACCTATCTCATGAGGGAGGACGACGCAGACACGATCACCCTACCTCCGATGGACCCGATAGCAGCGGTCCCACAGAATCTGGACACAGCCTTCCATAAAGCCAGTAAAGCCCAGGCGCCGCACTTACCACAGTTCAACGCCAAAAAGTTCTCAGCCCATAATATGGAAACCCAGAAGCATTCCAACTTCACGTATGGACTGTATTAAAGTGTGTCTAAACAAGAGAGGTTATTCAGCCAGAGCGGCGAA